TCGCAATTGGTTATCACCGAGGTTATCACGATGGGAGATGCAATTAGAGAAATGCCAAATAGAGTAATACGAATATTGGCCTCTTGCGAGTTCTACCGATCATTGCGAGATGTGAAACTTTTTAAGGACTCGCTTATCGGAATTTCGATAACATCCACGCGATGCAAGCACAGGAGGGGACGAATGAGTATGTAAACTTGCTTAAGGTTTCTTAACAAATTTCATTCCGGAAGTTTACATTGCTCTTTCGCGCGCGCTCGTAGATTTGAAGTAAATTAAATGTTAACAAATCCTTATAAAGACGAAACAAAGATAGAGATTTTTTCCACTATAGATGTATTCTTCTTTTATATGCGAAAGATTGGAAAAATAACCTTGCTAAAGTAAAAGTGGCTTTCCTAAATTGTCCTAATACGTCGACTCGAGAATATCATAAATTGAGAAAGATTACTCTTTCGGTATTAACGTTACTTTTAGCTTTTTTTTCTACCATCAAGCAAAAAATACATAGAATCGGTCAAACTTCCCTTAACCTTAATCTACGTTGATGGACTCGATACGGGTTCTATTTGCTGAAACTATAATGTAACTTCGCGAACTATTCGTTATATTACAAATCGACTGAACTGACGTTCGAATGATATTGACATACACATAGGGTGCGCGCGCGGTTACGCTATTAGCGTCTATTCCCTTCCCGGTCAATGCTCTAGCTCTAGTCGATCTAGAACGGCGACTAGAGCAAATCGAAGCGGACCACAGAAGCCGGATAGGTCGCTGCTCGATGCCTGGGGAGAAAGTCGATTGGCTGCGTGCCAGCCACGTGCTGATAAAGAGATTACAAACAGGAGCAACGCCTCTGCAACGAAACTTTCTGCGTTCCCGCGTGTTCAGAAACGAACAAGTTGCCCCGGCGATTTCACATTCTGCGCACTCGCGATAATTTTGCATATTTTGCATTTAAATATTTGTTCAAATTCTCTATAGACCTTTACATCATTTAAAACTTTAAATGGAGCGTCGGCGTTTTGTTTATCGTTCAGAGTAGCCTTCAAAACTTAACGTTGGTGCGATGCGACATAATTTTTTGCATAATACCGTCCATGCATTATTGATTTCCTTATAAGGTGATTGCGTTTGAGAAGATGGTGTTTGGTTTCGTCTTGGAATTTAAAAAAGTTACAGGTTAATTTTTATGCAGATGTTTTACATATAAAAGATAATAACTTAATTCTCTCGTATGCAATCGCGATATAAGAACGACAGAAAACAGTTTTTTATTAAATATGAAGAATATAGAGAAAGATAAAGAAAGATATTCTTGTATTATTTTTTTCAGAAGCAGTAACACTGTTCAATTCACAGGACTATTCGTCCCCCTTTTTGAATGAATAGAAGAGCATTTTATTGTATTGAAGTAAGCAAATGATCGGCAAATGAATATCTCGAATCTTATTATCTTTTATTGTGACATGTATATAAACAGCGGAGAAAATCAGCCGATGTTTCGCTCTTGTTTTCTCGTTTGACGAAAGGTCAAACTCAATAGGTAGATTCATTTGACAGACGAACACGAGCCGGTGGAAGCGATCCCAATTTTATGTCGAGGACACATAGCATGTTTCAAAGGTGTCTCAAGATCTATTATATATCTAGAATAATATAAGATTGCATCTTCCTTTTATTTAATAATAATTTTACTCAATTAATACATACATTTTCTTTTCTTACATTTCAAAATTAGGAAATAAAATTTGAAAAAGGAAATAAACTGTCTGTTTTGTTAAATTTGGCATTTTTTTAGATATATTGAGTATCGAAATGTGAGAACAAATCCAAATGTTCCATCAGACGTGAAAGCACCTCGCTGTTATTCTTAACGTTGGTCACACCGCACACGGATGCGGTGATCTCGCGTGATCAGCGATATTTTTTCGCGGCGCGACATCCATTGAGCAAAAGCACGTGCTTGGTCGCGCGCCAGTAGGCAGTTATGTTTATAACAACGTATGACAGATTCCCGCGGTATTCTGCCTCGTAACGGCGATACTATGTATAAGCTATAGGACGTACGTGACGACGAAGATCTTGGACGCAGAGCGCGTCGGATATTACGCAGAACCCGTCCCCTCTCGGGAGTATCTCCGTTTGGCCGCCCGCCCAAGCGAATTCTTACCGCTTTCGCGTGGTATTCTTTTTCGGCGGCCGTTCAGCCGCATTTCGCAAGTCATGGACGCGACACCGCGGCGACGAATAATTAACGAGCGATCGTTGGCGATAAATCATTAAGCTCGGCGACGGCGCTCGAATTGTGCGCGTTCGCGAATAACGGTAAACGTGCCTGTGTCCGTTCCGGATAGATGCTTTCCTCTTCGTGTACTACAAAATCTATTGAAAGTAGGTGTTTTTAGTAGGTGTTAGCATCTGCATAAGTGTGTCAGCTCAGATAAAGCAATCGTGAAATAAATGTAATGTGTAATGCATTAATACGAAGAAAAAAATGGAATATGTGTCTAATGACAGAAATTCTACTAATTTTAGTCTGAAAGGTATGTTCTTTTTCCTCAATATGTACAATTTGACTAACGAGTTCTATTTTACTGAAGATGGCATATGTTCAAGTCATATTGCACGTTTTTATTTACGCTCAACGTTCCTGCAGTAATTGCTGCCTAGCGATAAGAATAAATATTCATTAAAACCGCCGTATTCATTACGTGTTGATTATTCAGCGAGATGTCGCCGCGAGTTTGAAGAAGGCACGAACAATGATATTAATCAGACAGTACACCGCTAATGGCTGGTAATACCAATAACAAACACGACGGTTTTGTAATGACGTCGGACAGAAAAGAATTAAAAGGATCTAACTGGCAATAAGAATTCCATCAACGCATCCTCTCAACAAGGATATAGTAAAAACGATCGTTAATCCCGCCGCGTGTTCTTTACGACTTCATTACTTAGCGACTGGACGCCGCGCTCCGCGCGAATGTGATACGCCTAGAATGTCTCAGTTTACGCGCAAAACCAAGTGGCAGCCGCCTTATTTGTCACCTTTTGCCATTCAGGCTAATTTCGTAACTCGATCATTAGCGACGCACACACGCAGATTTATGCACAATTGGATGAACTTCATCATGCGTTTTTTTTTTTTTCATGTGTTTCGTATCGCTTTCTTGCACGCCATATTTGCGCCAGTACTATAACAGATACACTACATCGAAAATTAAACTACACTGTCGAAAAACACAATTTAATAATATTGAAAGGTTATTATGTAAGAATTATTGTATCTTTTTTTATTTTTTAAATCAATTTTTAATTAAATTTTTTTCAGTTAAAATCTAGAACGTTAATTACATCGAATGTTTACACAGTCGATATCTTTTGACGTGACTGTTGGACTCGTTCTAACTTTAGAATGTTATTATTTTGATAGACATGCCAGTTATAATTGAAACACAAAATAGGCCAATGCGTACTAAGCACTGATCTTTGATAATCTTGAAAGAATTCTTATTTCTCGTTTCTTGCTTACAACTCAGTATTTAATAAACATTTATTAATTTATCAATATAGTGAAAAATAGAAATATATGAGAAAAGGAGAAATATAATTGCATTTACTTCGAAATTGAATTAACCGTTTTCAAAGATTTACAGTACGAGTTCGCAGATTTTTTATTTCTCCGCAAACAAGTTAACTTTGGTTTAAAATTTTTTTTCCTGTTACACCGTGCTGCAGTATATAAGGTGTTTCAGGTGCTTGCAGGTGTTGGAATTTACTGTTACTAGATAATCTTATATTGATAATTGGGTTCGCGTGAATACTTGGATTTTACTTGTTTGGCAGTTGCGGAAAATGCGAATGAATTATTTAACCGCGACAAGCGACACGTCACTTTGACGTACAAATGCGCTCCGGTTCATGTTTTATTCACTACGCCCGCTGCGCATTACGCGATATGAAGCGACTAGACGCTTAGGGATTGACATTCGCGCGCGGTTTCACAAGGCGGATTATGTTCGGGAACACAATATGGTGAGCCGTGTCGCGGAACGATTCGTCGCACGACATGAAAAATAGATGAACTTCGCGTATAATTCCGCCACGAGTCTTTGTACAGACATTTTTCTACTGAATTTCGACGTTCAAATCGATGTTTGATGATACTTTAATATCTGGTTCCTAAGAGGATATTAGACCATAGTCACCACACCATTTCAATATAACTGCTAGAGAAAAATAATTTTGCCATTTTCTAAGTATAATTTTTGGGATATTAAAAACAAAATTAAATATGTAGAAAAATATGTGAATAAATAAGATATGAAGAAAAAGTAGTAACAAAACTACATATATATATAATGATAAAATTTACATGCACCTATATCATTAGTTTTACTATATATAAATTATGTGGTTAAATGTGTGCCTAAACCTCTAACTCTCGAAGGATTGAGGATAGCGAGTTTTGCTTCCGCGCCCCTTAATTATGCGATTCAGATTGGATCGCAAGAATTTTACCTAAGCAACCATACGTCACAGCTCCTAAGGTGTCCCGTTGCACTATTTCCGTCGCTTTGGGTAGCGTCGTAAAAGACATACGCAGGCGTATTAATAGACTGACCGAGCACGACGCATCTACCGTGACGTCGCGCGCACCATCGAAATTTAGCCAAAACCGCACTGTGCAAATTTGTCTTACGCGATTTTCCTACGACGGAAGACGGTAGTAACACGTGTTGCTGCGAGGTGAGCCCGGGAGGGGAAACCGTGCCGCTCGGGAAATCCGCGCACTTTCGACTTGCGAGAGTAGTTACAAGAGAGTTGCATTTTCGAGAGAACTTGCCAACCGCACACGGACTGTGCAGATGGCAAAGTAAATGATGTCTCTCGGATAAAGCCATTAACGGCGTTTCATTAGTGCGGATTTAACGAATTAATCGCGTCTCCGAAGGAAAGTTACTAACGCTGTTGCTCGTTTCTTGTTGCAGAATCACGAATATGGCGGATACGGAGACGAGCCACGTCGAAAAAGGTGAGCTTACGTTTGCATTTGAGCGAATAATTTAGTTGCGCGTGCATCAAACGTGTATCTGTCAAGGACGATGAAGGAATAGGAAATTAAAAATGATAAGAGGCTAAACAATTTCTTTGCATGTATCCGTTCATACACGAAATTATATAACAATATTTATGATAATTGAAAATTATGAAATATTAAGAAAAAATACTTTTATTGCTTTGTTTGATTTCATTGAAATGAAGTTTTAATAGTCAATTTAGCGATGACCGTCAGATACTATTGTATTTTGTTACTTTGCAAAAAGTTTATTGATATTATACAGAATACATAATTTTACACACTTTTTTTTACACTGAATTGATATCTGATCGATAACTACCAAGGCTTTCATTAGTGCATCATCTTGAGTTTCTTGATATGTTATCAATCGTGCATCATCATATTTCTTGGACCCATTAATTTTGCAACACTTTTAATTGGACAATGAGTTGCGCGATCGATGACGCCATTCGATCATAGCTCACTATATTGTATTACAAGTTGCAGTTGCACGCAATTTGCTCGTTCGATCGCTCTCAATAAAGCTATCAATGTTGGTACAATTTCATACATATACAGTTACAACTTTTAAAAATATTGATATTTCACAAATCGCACTTTGTTCAAGCTATAATATTTTCATTATTTTATATTAGTCATTTTATATTACACGTTTTCTTTAAATTATATTTACTCTTTATTCCCAATGGGAATGTATAAAATGCGGTCTTTCTTCTAGAAATACGTTCTTATTTGTTCGCTATTATATCAATAACACGCCGTTACGAGAACGCTCGAGCGTGGAATTGGATGCCTGATAAGCGCCAAGACGCGCGTTCTATATATCGCGACAGCGAAAATTAATTAAAACGACGCAGCCGGTCGTCACCAAGTTTGACCCTACTGCCGCTGTTCTATAGTCCCAAGTCTAATAATAAGAAGTTAAGTCGAGCATTAATCGTGATTCAATCCAGCAAAGGCTATCCGATAGCGAGCGATATCTACTCCACGAACTCGCGATAACTCCTTGGTAAAGTGAATTCGAACCTGGCGAACCGTTGGTTGAGCGGTCACAGATGCAGATATCAGATATTAGATGTTAGATAATCAATGGCAGTCGAGGACAGTATGGCAGCGAAACGATATTTATCTGCTCTTATTTGCGAGTCCTACATTTTTAAAATCTACGATCTTTATTTTCGCGACACAGATACATCTCTTTTTATATTATATTTTAATTTTCGAATTTTATACTCCAGACTACTTTTCTGTTAGGAGCATTAGTGAGAAAGACGTTCAAACATTAAATTGCAGACGCACTTCTATCCAGTTCGAGATATCCTATATGAATAATAGCCGTATCGCAAACACGAGAGCTCGATACAAATAAAAGCTTCGGATAACAATGATCGTCAAGTGGTAATTCAATTTGTATTGTATTGATTCTCGCAGTTGAATATTCCGTGCTATTAGCTGATGCAATGGCCTTATTATTTTGCTCGTGGAAAAATTATATAGCGATTGATTTTTGCGTTGGATGCTAGTCACGAAGAAGAGATGTATACGCCAATATCAACTGTGAAAAATATATCGCGCGGCGTCCATCATCGGTTGGTTGCTTCGCTATAACGCTACACAACACGTGGGCATGTCAAATCTCGGTTGGAGATTACTTCGTTTCGCTTTTCCCTCAACCGAGATGCGAGATACCTATCTTTTCCTATTGCTGACGTCATAATCCTTTATCGCTGTGTGATGCACGCGTGCAATCCACGTTCTCTATGGAGCAAAAATATTTTTTGAATTATGGAGAGAATTTCTTATAAAATACTTCTATTTATGTGTGTGTATACATGCATATGGATATATTTTATACGAAATCCTTCACAATTCAAAAAATATTTTTGGCCTGTATACATGTATGTAACATGTACTGTATCAAATAAAATAGTTTGCTAATACTGAAAAAAAAAATTTGACAGAAGTAATAACAAACATTTTAATCTCGCGGATATGACATAGAAATAGTTGTAGATGTTATTGATATATGTTTGCGCATAATTTATAGAAACTAATTTTTTTTTTTTTAATCCGTGAAAACGAAGCCGAGATAATATTCCTGGTTTCAACGGATGCAATCAATGCGATTTTACACTACGTCAGCAAGACGTCCGTGCTGCAGTCAACGAAGAATGAATTATTATTGGCGAACTAGTTTTTGTGAACTCGGCGATAATCCAGGCCTCGTTTTCAAACGGGCTTCCGTAATTGAATTTTCAAATAATTGGAGCGTCTTTTAACGAGGACAAATGATAGAAAATCACGATTTTATCAGTCGCCGCGCACTTATGCCGTAGAATGAACTTTAATAAAGTTCTCTGTGCGTTCGCTGGAATAATACGTATCAATTAATCTGTTTCAGAGAAGACAATAATAAACCGAACCACGTCCTCCTCTTCACAATTATCAATCCAGTTTACCCCATCACTGTGGTAAGTCCTTCACCAATTTATTAACGCTAGTGCGGTCAAGCCTTTTTCTTTTTTTTTTTATTTGTTTTATTATGCGTTCAGAAAATATAAAGAAATTATAAAGAAATGCAAATCACATAATTCTTCTAACTTATGTCTTTAAAGTTATTGTACAAAAAAACAATATCATTCATAAATTATTTCTTATTCGAGAATTAAACGTTTTATTATTTAAAAGGTAACACGACAAAGCTGTAGCACTCATAATATATGTCGGCAATGCATGACAATTGTTATATGTGCGGTGCATTTCTTGTGCTTTTTTTTCTACATATATTAACTCGGTGCGGAGTAGTCGGGACGGAAAAGTGGCGCAATTCTGCGACGCGGACTATAACGGGAATTGAAAATATTGAAGCCAAAGCCACGGAGAACAAAAGTTGGCAGCACGTCAGCCTCGTAGATTTCACAGGCCGTCGCACTGCATTTTATTTCTGTTTTGCGCCAATAATAGATGAGCTTTGAGCTCTCCCGCCGTTTCTCTCCGCCGCCCGCGCCGGCGGTCGGGTCGATGTCATTCGACATTGTTTGCGCCGCTTCTGTTCGAGCGTGCTCACATAGCTATCCGGTCACACACAAAGCTCGTTTTCTTGCGCCTCTCCCGCCATCGAACCACTAATTAAAGAGCCGAGTGTGAAGGCTTCTTGCTCGTGCGATAACCGAAACTGCTAACAATACTGCGCTACTATCGAAGTGTCCGCCGCATTGCAGTGCGAACACAGCGATAGTCCTTGCTTTATGTTGCGAAACCGCGTCTCTTGATTCTATCATCACCAAACATCTAGAATTTTGTTTCTGTTAGTAACAAAAAATTATAAAAACAAGTTATACACTTATTATTTTACTATAAATATAAAAGAAGAAAGAAAGATTATATATATAATTCAATAATCTCTTCACAGTCGCATAATAAATGTCGTTAGTGGTGTAAACTGCGACGAGTAAAAAGCTAATGCCGGAAACTGTACAAGATACAAAGCATGTACCATTAATATTTATTATAGACAAGGCTGTAGCATTGTTTGTGGGCAGTATATATTGTATAATGGGCAATTTATCTTTAATATATGCGGCAAGAATGAGCTAGAATTTTGCTATGTGTACAAGCACCCGTTAATTTTGAGCGGGCTGAAACGTGACTTCATATTCCATTAACGGCTCATCTTCTTAATTTAATTAAAAGCTCATATAGCTAGAGCTTCCTCGAAGGTTTAAACTCTCGAGCACACTCTTAGATCTTTCTTCGTCCTCGTTTTCTTTCTCTCTCTTTGTCTGTTTTTCACTAACGCAATTATTCGCCTAACATTCTACCTCGTCTTGACGTTTACAAATGAATTGTCATATCTGATATCCATTAAAATAAATTAATCGGTGCATTTGCCTCTCTGTCTCGCGAATTATTTTTTTATTTTCTCTTTTTGTGCGAGTTTCTGTATATTTAATCAGCAAATGCGTTGATCGATATTTCACTTTACTTGAAAACATATTGCTGATTCGATTTCCGGCTTTTTCATCCGCTAGACAAACATTTATCCAGCGAGAACGCTTCGTACATATATGTATTTTACTGTGGATAGGATCTGTGAGCGTTAATTGAAAAACCGTTATTTTGTATAAATAGTAGTAAATTTAAGAAATTTTTAGTTTGGTGTGCAATCAAAGTCTTCCTGGTCGTATATATCAACATAACGATGACAGTTGCAGCTGGAAGTAGTCGATGTAAATCTCGGTTATATACTGGGACTGCCAATATTTCCTCGACACATGGTTGGCGTTATAAGCGAGTTCGCTTTTATGAGGTGCAAGGCAAATTGAACTAAATATCGTGTTTATTGCGGAACTTCCCGAATAGAGCTTCCGATCCCGACGTATACGATCGCCCAAGAGATCTATATTTGTCAATGTGACGTTTATTAATTCGTTATTGAATTATGTCATTCTGTCGGCTTATCTTGCACAAGTGACGAACATGAAACCTAGGAGAGCCAAAAAAACTTTTTAATTTTCATTTTTAATTCTTAGAATTTATTTAGTTTACTCTCTAAATTTTTTCGAGTGAAATATCACTCTAATCGAGTGGAAATTTACTCGAGCAAAGAGTGAAAATGGAACATATCTTATCGAGTGAATATTGACTCGATTTGTCGAGTGATTAGATCACTCGCGCGCTCGAGCGAAATTTGACTTGTGTATTTGAGTGAAAACTTGCACTCGATCAGAGTGCCTTCTTCAGGTGTCTGATTTTGCTGTTCGCTCGTTCTTAGAGTAAAGTTTTACTTAAAAGGCGAACATGTTTCCTAAGACTCACCACATAGCATTTCTACCTGTTATTTTAAAACGTTGGTTAGGTTAATTTGCTAAGGCCCAGTTGTTCCAACCTATTGGTAAACTAACTAATAGTTAGTTTAAGGAAAAACGAATCGGGAAGCCGTGAGTTGCAATGCGGTCGCACGCGAGGAGGAGGCTCTTCGTCGGTATCAGGACAGGATGCACGACGATCCCATCCACGGGGAGGCGTCGCGAAGCCGTCGCGGCTACGATCTGTGCCCGCGGAATCACCACCGTGCAAGCATGACCGCGACGTCGGTGACGAGCCTGACGGTGAGCACCCGGGTGTACGAGGGTCAGAAGCCGGGCATCTCGGGTCTGTGGAAGGCCGTCAAGGTCTTTCAGCAACACTACACGGACAACTTCGTGCAGGCGATACTGGATGCCCGGGCGATCAGCTGACCGGCTGCACCCTCGTCGTCGGCGGCGACGGACGGTTTTATGGGAGGCCTTAGCAAATTAACCTAATCAACGTTCGAAAATAATAGATAGAAATGTCGTGTGGTGAGGTTATATCAACCTTAGGAAACATGTTCGTCTTTTAACACGATATTCACAAAATCCACGCACTAATATCCACAATTCTTCGAAATCTTTAGGTATAAACACAAATATACATCACGTAAGCCCGACATTGTAACATGGCACGTCTCTTGCGCGGGCTACGCAACTGAGCCATTCGGTTCAAGTAAATTTTCACTCGACCCGAGTTGCTCGGAACCAGCGTACCACAATTCACTCCGACACTTCGAGAGAATAATTAAGATTATTTTCACTTTATAGTTCGAGTCACAGATTTCACTCGAATCGAGTGAAAATAAGTGTAAAGTCACTCTGTGAAGAGTTGATAGTGCATTCACTCAAGCCAAGAGTCAAATTTTCACTCGAAAATATTTAGAGAGTACAAAAATGATAGGAACTGAAACATGAAGTGAAAAAATGCCATACAAAATCAATTATGCATACTCTCTAAATTTTTTCGAGTGAAATATCACTCTAATCGAGTGGAAATTCACTCGAGCAAAGAGTGAAAATGGAACATATCTTATCGAGTGAATATTGACTCGATTTGTCGAGTGATTAGATCACTCGCGCGCTCGAGCGAAATTTGACTCGTGTATTTGAGTGAGAACTTGCACTCGATCAGAGTGCCTTCTTCAGGTGTCTGATTTTGTTGTTCGCTCGTTCTTAGAGTAAAGTTTTACTTAAAAAGCGAACATGTTTTCTAAGACTCACCACATAGCATTTCCACCTGTTATTTTAAAACGTTGGTTAGGTTAATTTGCTAAGGCCCGATTGTTCCAACCTATTGGTAAACTAACTAATAGTTAGTTTAAGGAAAAACGAATCGGGAAGCCGCGAGTTGCGGTCGCGCGCGAGGAGGAGGCTCTTCGTCAGTATCAGGACACGATACACGACGATCCCATCCACGGGGAGGCGTCGCGAAGCCGTCGCGGCTACGATCTGTGCCCGCGGAATCACCACCGTGCGAGCATGACCGCGACGTCGATGACGAGCCTGACGGTGAGCACCCGGATGGGGGTCAGAAGCCGGGCATCTCGGGTCTGTGGAAGGCCGTCAAGGTCTTTCAGTAACACTACACGGACAACTTCGTGCAGGCGATACTGGATGCCCTGGGCGATCAGCTGACCGGCTGCACCCTCGTCGTCGGCGGCGACGGACGGTTTTACGGGAGGCCTTAGCAAATTAACCTAATCAACGTTCTAAAATAATAGATAGAAATGTCGTGTAGTGAGGTTATATCAACCTTAGGAAACATGTTTGTCTTTTAACACGATATTCACAAAATCCACGCACTAATATCCACAATTCTTTGAAATCTTTAGGTACAAACACAAATATACATCACGTAAGCCCGACATTAAAACACGTCACGTCTCTTGCGCGGGCTACGCAACTGACAATGAGCCATTCGGTTCAAGTAAATTTTCACTCGACCCGAGTTGCTCGGAACCAGCGTACCACAATTCACTCCGACACTTCGAGAGAATAATTAAGATTATTTTCACTTTATAGTTCGAGTGACAGATTTCACTCGAATCGAGTGAAAATAAGTGTAAAGTCACTCTATGAAGAGTTGATAGTGCATTCACTCAAGCCAAGAGTCAAATTTTCACTCGAAAATATTTAGAGAGTAGATGAAATCTTTCAGTAGGGCAAACCGTACTTTGTTTTTACTATTATTCATTCAGTAAGCGTTAAAGTTAAATAATTCTGTAAGTGTTTGTAAACTATTCGTAACGAGAGCTCTTTTCATTGTGACCAGGTTACACTTGTTGGTATAATCTTGCTCCATTCAGATATCGTCTGAGACCGTAAGACGAAACCGAAGTGTCTCTCTCGGCAACGCGACTGTCGCAACTTGCATCAATCATAGAGATGTTGACGTTAATTCGAGTTATTGCGATACAATATTGTGCGAGTGTGTCGCTACACCATACGGTTGCCAATATTTTGCGCCTGAAGTGGCGACGATGGCGTCGGGACGCGCGAAACGATGCACCTCGTGTCTACTTTATCGCGATGCACGTATGTCACGAACAGATAAACGTCAAACGCGGCTAACGACGTGTTCTGTGAATCGCATTGTAACGAATGAAACGAGTATGCGA